GTTACATATTGTGTCACTACTGAACTGCTTACAAATAAGTTTTTAAGCAAGTTGACAGTACATGTGAAGGAGGTGCATACACACGCATGAGCAAGTCTTTCTCACCCCATCCTGTGAGCAGGCAGGCATTTTACCTCAGTTGCCTTTCTTTCCAGGCCTCCATGCCATCTGATCATCAGACAAAAATTTAAAGAACACATCCTGAGATGCTTTTCAAAATTGCTAAAGTCACCGAAAAATAAGGAATGTCTAAGACACTAGTGCATCCAAAGAGATATGACAAAGAAATCTAATGTGGTCCTCCTACAAAGTAGTTCTTGAAACCAAAAAAGAACATTTGATTTAAAAAAAAAGAAAAACTAAGAAAACTTGAAGAAAATATGCACTTTGCCTAGTAATTTATCAATATTAGTCTGTCATTGCACCATACTTACGTAAGATATTAAAAAGAAGAAAAGGTAAGTGAAGAGTGTATGGGAACTCTCTCTGGGTGTTTGTTTGTTTTCTTACTGGACAGGGGGAGACTGAGGTGAGGGTATTTATTCCTTGGGTCCCTTCTTGCCTGTGTCCCTCTAGCAAAGGCTGCCACCCCCCCCCACTGTATCATATGACTTCCAGGTTTAGAAAACATGTCCTTTTGGCCCTTGCTTAGTGTGACTAGCCCTGGGTGACTACACTTTTGTAAATAGCCCCTAGAAAGGTAAGTGTCCCCCTACCCCAGCAAAGTCTTCTGAGCCATCGGTTTCCTGATGGGCTGATTCTCAAGCTCTGTCAATGTGTGCTTACCCAGAGTCAGGTACAGGTGTGTTCGCAGCAGCATTGTTCTCAGTAACCAACATTTAGAAGCAAACTGTCTATGGCACAGTAGAGCATTACTCCACTTGAAAAGGAAATGCTGGAACCTGCTACCACATGGATGAATCTTGAGGACATCATGCTAAGTGAAATCAGCAGCCACAAGAGCACAAATACTGTTACTGTACTATCATAAAGTGTCTAGAATAGTCAAATTCATAGAGATAGAAGGTAGAATGGTGGGTGCAGGGCTGGAGTGTTAGGGGAATAGAGTGTTACTGGTTAATGAATGAATCTAGAGTTTCAGTCCTGTAGGAAGATGGTGGTGGTTGTACAATATGAGTGTACTTATCACTACTGAGTTGTACTTTACAAATGGCTAAGATGGTAAATTTTATCATGTAAGGGCTGGGAAGGTGGCTCAGTGGTAGAGCGCATGCCTTGCATGCATGAGGCCCTGAGTTCGATTCCTCAGCACCACATAAGCAGAAAAAAAAAGCCAGAAGGGGTGCTGTGGCTCAAGTGGTAGAGTGCTAGCCTTGAGCTGAAGAGCTGAGGGACAGCGCCCAGGCCCAGAGTTCAGGCCCCACGACTGGACCACAAAAAAAAGTTAAAAAATTTATCATGTATATTTATTTCACTGCTGTGTGTATGTGTGTGTGCACGCGTGCACATGTGTGCATGATGTGTACTTTTACTGGGAGTTGAACTCAGAGGCTGGCGACTGACTCTTAGCTTTTTCATTCAAGGCTGTTCACTGCCACTGCCATAATAATACACAGGGAAAACAAGGAAGACAACAGAGTTGAGGATGCTGGCATGGAAGTTTGGGGAGCAGTGCTTCTGAGGAACTTTCTCTTCACACTTGGAACAGTGCAGCTGAGTGACCAAGATGGGTCAAGTAAGAGGATTCAGGCAAGGACATGTAAGAGGTGGAGTGGAGGATCTGGGTGCAGAGCATCAGGCTTTACACATTCAGGAAATGTTTAAGGATAGGCATTTATGAAACCAAGGAGATGGAGTTGATAGGGATAGCTATTTGTCATTTTTAGATGTTTTGTTTATGACCATCCAACCCCAGTCATTCCAACAGGAATCCAGCAGCTCCGATAACATGGCCCTATAAACATGCTTTGTCTAGGGGTTTTTGGTTAAAGTGCACAGTCCAGAGGGGTCCTCAGTTTCCCCTTGGGTGCTTGGGGAGCCCCTTCCCCCTTGGGAGCACAGGCTAGGGAAGGGTATCACTACGTGAATTTTCACCATTTTTCACATCATAAGCTTGGAGCAGAACCCATCTGGAAATCATTAAGTACATGCCTGTTTCCAGATATGTTAACCCTATTTTATTTTTTGCACTTGATTAATGTTTATTTTGTTTTCTTGGGATGAAAGGCAAAAGTGAGCAGACAAAAGACTGAACAGATGACTATGCGTCAAAAAATGGGCCCTGTCCAAGAGATTCTGATTCAAATGGTCTTAGACGAGGCTTGAGCATACATGTGTTTTTTATTACAAATGTTTCTACAAGGGACTACAACTTAATGCTGTCCATTTATGTGTACAGTGCGTCTTGATCAGTCACCCCTTCCATCATAACCCCCCCAAATACCCCTGCTCCATCAGTCTGTACATCAAAGTTTGCACTTCCTTTATCAAGATGCACATTGAGTATTGTGACTATATTCATCCCTCATTCCCTTTTCCACTCATCCACGCCCTCCTATTCCACTATTCAACATGTGCACATTCCTTATATTAATTTTGTTAAAATGTCTGTTCAAAGGGTGTGCACCATGGAGTTTCTCTGATACATATACTATACTTTAACTTGCTTGATCTTTTTGTCTTTTTGTCTTTCACAGCCTGGCTTACTTCACTCAGTATGATTTTTGCCACATGCATGCATGCCCTTACAACTGGCATAAATTTCATCCTGGCTGATGAATGAATAAAATTCCATTTGTGGGAGGGGGGGAAGTGAGGGGTGCATGATTTTTTCTCAATCCATTTGTCCCTTGTAATGAATGTGCGCTGTTTCCATAACTTGGTTAGTGTGAATAGTACTGCAACAAACATGGGTGTGCAGGTGCCTTTATTGTAACTGTCTTGCAGTCTTTCAGACAAATGAGTGGAATGACTGGATTATAGGTTAACTCTGTTTGTTTTTAGAGGTGTCGCCATATGGACTTCCGTTGTGGTTATACTGGTTTGTACTCCCACCAATAGTATATCCAGATCCATATTGATGATGGCCATTCTGAATGAAGATGGAATCTCACTATTGTTTTGATTTGCATTTCCTTTATGACTAGGAATCTTGAGCATTTCTTCATGTATTTGTTGGCAATTTGAGCTTTTTCTTCTGAGAAAACTGTCTATTAAGCCCATTTATTGACTGAGTTTTGAGTCTTTGGGGTTTAGTTTTTTGAGCTCCTTGTATATTCTGGTCATTAGACCCTTTGTTATACATATATCTGGCAAATACCTTTTCTCATTCTATTGCTGTCTTTTATCATGACGGTGTTCTTGGCTGTGCAGAAGCATTTTTGCTTAATGCAATCCCATCTGTTGATTCTTTGCCCTTATTTGCTCAGCCCCTGAAATTCTATTCAGAAAGTTTCTGCCTATGCCAATACATTCTAGTATTTCTCCTATTCCTTCCTATAGTCGTCTCAAGGTTCAGGTCTTACATTAAAGGCTTTATGCACTTTGAATTGATAATAGTACAGGATAAGAAATATGTCACTAGTTTGCATGTGGACTTCCCACCCTCCCAGAATCACTTGATAAAGAGGCTGTCCTTTCTCCAGCATATATTTTAGATGTTTTGTTGTCAAATATCCATTAGTTGTAGGTGCATGGTTTATTCCAAGGTCTTCTTTCCATTAGTCTTCAGGTTTGGTTTGTGCCAGTATCAATTTGTTATTTCTGTTATTATGCCTTTATATGATCATTTGAAGTCTGGTAGTGTGATACTACTGTCATTGTCTTGTCTTGTTTTGTTGCTTAGGATTGATTTGGCTTTTCAGGGCCTTTTATGTTTCCATATGAATTTAAAATTTTTTCCTTTTCTATCTCTGTATGGAATAGCATTGAAATTTTGATACGTATTGCATTGAATTTGTAGATTGCTTTTGACATTTTCACAATATTGATTCTACCGATCTAAGATCATGGGACATTTTCCCATCTTCTCATATTGTCTTCAAGGGCTTATAATTTTTATTTTAGAGGTCTTTCACCTCCCTGTTAACCCCATTGTAGACATGATGCAAACTTTAGCTGCTGAATGAGTTTCTTGAAAGTCTGTCCCTAAATATAGCTGTCACTTGCTGAATGAGCCATATGTAAAGAGAGAGAAGACATAGCTGCAGAATTCCATCTTGCTCTGGCTCGGACTTGTACCTGTGCATGTAGGTATCTCAAAATTACTAACCTAAACAGTCCCAGAGAAAGTTCAATTAAGAATCTTTATCCAAAACCTTTCATTTCTTGAGTCATTGCTAATATAAGCATGGGTTTTGGAGATTTGACTTCAGAGGCTTCTGGGCTGGAGCAAAGCCTGTGGACAAGGTTAGCTCAGCTTTCTGATGGTGCTCACACCATCTTGGTTTACTCAGGGAGGGCTCTAGGAAATAGACGAGTAAAAGAAGGAATCAGGGATCAGGGATATGCTCAGAGGTGGAGAAATCCTGCCTGGGGCAGAAGTGGAAACTGGATTGTTGGGCTTGAGGGGCCAGTGGCCTGGGAAAGTAGAGGCTCCATGGAGAACATTCCTGGGTTGTTACATCTGTGAGCTTTTCTGTCAGGGAAAGTGTGACTGCCTAAGGGTAGCAGTCTGGATTCTCCTCCCTGGGGCTCTTTCCCCTGGCCACATGAGAGACTGCTGTGGATTTTCAAGGACTGGAAACCAAATACTGCCCTTTTAGGCCCTCTTGACTTCTGAGAAGGAACCAGTGAGGCCAAGTACAAACATCCACAAGGAGGTGCTTGTTCATTTCAGGCTCAAAATGAACAAATGCTGCTTCTTTGAGCTAGGTCTCCAGGGCAGTTCCCAAAGTGTGGTCTAATGACCCCCAGTGTCTGTGAGGGCAAACATGACGCATATAGATGTGATCAAATTAAAATCATGGGCCCCAGAAAGACCTGTAAGAAAGATCTAGAAATATACCATAATCATCTGAGGTTTGGGTTTTGTTTTTCAGGAAAAACTGCATAGAAAATCTAATGGATGAAGATGAGAAGGACAGAGCAAAGAGGTAAGCAGGACTAGCTTATCTCAGTGTGAGCACCATGGCTGTCTGTCTGTCTGTCTGAATCTTGCCTGCCCATGTTCTGCTTAGCAAAAGTACTAACAAGCCAGGAAGCTCTAGAACATGTCTACAAACACAATTTCCCAAAAGAATTTCAGAGCTGCTCCCTCAATTTTGCTTCTCACTGGTAAAGTTACTAGTTTATGCACTGTCTGCAGCTTGCTGAGTGAAGTGAACTGTTAATATGCTTAGGTATTTGCCAGTCCATTTCTGTCTTCCTCCATTGGATTGATTGTGGCTTTCCTGGGACATAATGGCAAAGCAAGCTTAATAGAAGCCAAGTCGACCTGGTTTAAGCCCTGCATCTGTGGAGAGCCTCTGGCTTTGGGTAATAACAATATACTGATGATACCATCATTACTCATTGTTATGAAGTATGCAATAACCAGACAGCACAGCTCGATTTCACCATCTGTACGTTGGAGCTATCATGGCTACTTTGCCAACAGGGTTGGGTGAGTAGGAAGTACTAGCCCGGTAGATGTAATGCTAGAGCTCTTAAGACTGTTGATTCCTTCAAGGAACATTTATTGAATACCTGATACATATAAAGTATAGTCATGAAGTTGACATTCTAGAGGTCAAGAATGGCCAAGTGAGCCAGATGCTGGTGGTATACACCTGTAATCCTAGCCACTCAGGAGATTGAGAGCTGAGTATCATAGTCTGAAGTCAGTTTAGGGACGAAAAGTCCAATTAACCAGCAAAAAGCTGAAAGTGGAGGCGTGGCTCAAGTATTAGAGAACAAGTCTTGAGCGGAAAAGCCAAGCAAAAGGTCCCAAGTTCATTCCCTAGCACCAGCGCGCACACCCACACACACACACACACACACACACACACACACCTACCCACCTCCCCCCCCACACACACAGGCCAAATGTCATCAACTTCACACCATGCACCCAAGTCAGCAATTACCACACTAGTATGAGGAGAGGAGGATAAACAAGGGGCTGCTGCCCATAAGGAGTATATAGTGAATAGAGTAGTCAGGAGGCCACTGAAGATCATTGGGGTTGAGGTGGCAGGACTAGCAATAGAAGTCAGAATTTCCTGTCCCAGGAAAACCTGAGTCATAGGCCTGGCAGACTGCCTCCTCCCTCCAGTCTCATTCGGTGCTGCATCTGCCATTGTATGCACGTGGTGGGGCACTCTGTGCTCTAGGACAGTCCCTCATGAGCCCTTGTGGCTGGAGGTAATGCTGCCTCTACTGTCCTGCACAGTACCCATGTCCAGCATGTCTGTCACTTCTAAACAGGGGAGCCCACAGAGCTCACCCAGCTTGGTGGCTGAAGGGTGGTTGTCTTTCCTTGTTACCTGGGGAGGCAGCCTTGAGAAACACAAATCCACAACACTCACAGACCTGCTAAATCTGTAACTGCAATGATTGGGAAAGTCTGGATTGTTTGGAACTTCCTCAATATTTCCTTTAAAAATCAGGGATCAGAGGCAATGGCCAGCAGCATGGATGGGATGAGATTTGTGTAGGTAAGGACTAGGAAACTAGGACATCAGCCCAGGGAACGCATCTCTGCTTTATCTTCTTTGATTCTTATCTCTACTTGTCCATGTATTTGAAAAATCCCTACAATGAAAATTCAAACAAATAACAAAGCAGTTAATTCCCGAGAGTATTCAGATGCAATGGGCTAGTCCCGTGGCACTGGATCCTCCCAACAGTGCTTTACAGATTGTACATCAGAAACTGCAAGGGCTGCAAAATCCATCTGAAGAGGACCAGGCCGGTCTAGAGCAGATCCTTCCTGCCCTGAACATAGGCAGGTTGTACTAGAAGGAAGCCTTTTGGCTTCCTGCAGAGTAGCTGTGGATAGAATGCTGGACACAGAAACTGAGCTAATGAGATCCCCCAAACCCCTTCGTGATTCACCCCCTGTTTTCTCACCTACAACAAGAAGTAATCATGTCTGCCCTGCCTTCCTAGGGCTATTATTTTACAAATCAGCCAAAAATATACTGAGCAGCTTCTCTGAGATATTAACTACCACATGTATGTGAAAATGTATGACACCTTACAATAATCTATTCCACAGGCATTCCTAGTCCTATTAGCAATAATGAAAAGAATAGCAGTAGTGACCAGACATTATTGACTGTCTCCTATATGTTCTGTGCACACCTACTAACTACTGTGCTAAGTACTTTGGTGAGCATTATCTCAAACCTTCCCCTCAGAATTTCTTTGTGGCATGTATTGTTGTTAAGCCTACTATACAGATGAGAAAAGTAAGATTCAGCAAGGTGGACTAATCTGATTTGACAGAAGTGAGAAAGCTCTACGAAGTGGCAGGTGGGAAGTTAATTACAGATTTTCTTAGCCTGAGACTCTGCTCTAATCCCTCAGATCACAAGAGACTCTCTGCATACAGGAACAAATGCCATCACTGCAGATCCAGACTGAGACTTACATTCCAATGTGACTTCGGAGTCTACAGAAGTTTTACTTTTGTCACAGAAGTCTTCACAGAAAGTTTCTAGAAGTCAGATTGTGTGACATTTCTTTTTCATTCATTCCCAGGGGCTATGGGTACATCCCTTGTTGTTGGTCAGTTTTAGATTGCTATAACAAAATACCTGAGGTTTTTCTAGAACAAAAGAGGTTTCCTTAGCTCATGGTTTTGGAGGTTCAAAGGCACTAGCATTAGTGAGTCTCTAGGGAACACCTCATGGTGCGTGGCATCACAGTGGAAAGCACTTGTGTGAGAGAGGTCATATCACAAGCTAAGAAGCCGGGGGGGGGGCGGGAGGAGCTAGTCCTGCCACTTCCTGTGAAGCCCACCTCTTAATGATCCCATTCCCTCTTCGCATCATCACACAGAGGACTAAGTTTCCAAAGCATGAACCCTTGGGGTTCATCCAAACCATAGCACCAAACCATGGGAGCCACTTCTGCATATAGGTACCTGTGTGCAGAAGTTGCTGTCCCCCCTTCCTCTTATCCTCAGATGAGATACTGGTGTAGAATGTTCATGAACACCCACACTCTTCACCAAGATGGCAGCAATAATGCAGTACCCTTTGTAACATTTGGAGAAAGGAAAGCAAACACAAATCTGAGATGATTTCCATTTCAAAGCCTCTGGTTTTGCAGGTTTTGTAGCAGCAATGTGGGAGGCCCTTTCCTAATCCCACCTGGGGGCTGGGAAGGTGGCTCAGTGGTAGAGTGCTTGCCTTGCATGCATGAGGCCCTGGGTTCGATTCCTCAGCACCACATAAGCAGAAAAAGC